AGTGTGAACTTTTCTGGCAAGCCGCAAGCCAAGTTAAGCCCACATTCCTTGCCGTTGTCGATGACCCTGACTTTGCCCTTCTGTTCCAGGCCAAACCGATGGGCGATGACCATCGGTTTATCAGTCGCCATCGCGTCTCGGAAGATCCATCCCTTCTTCTCCTCCTCAAGCGTCTCCGCCCACGCCTTGCGAGTGGTATCATCCACCACCGTTTTCCTCAACTTGTTCAAGGTAAGAGGAGTACGGTAGCTGGATTGTTCAAGCAGCCTTTCAAGGGTGGTCTCGGGAGGTCGCAACTTTTTGTCAAAGATTCCAGTGTCCCTCATCCATCCGGTGAGGCGAAATCCATCTCTCAGATCCGCCCAAAGCTGATCGTCCTTGAAGCCGTTGTGTCGAAGGATGTCTCTCCAGGCAAGGACATTTTTGTTGCCAAGAGCCTCGGTCAAGTACTTGGGCTTGCCCTTCAGTATCTTGTCATTCAGAGATCTCGTAGTCGCCTCTATGTTGCTCCATCGCTGCCTTGTGGCCTCAGCCCTCTTCTCCCTGTCTTCAAAGGACAAGAGCACAGCATCCACAATGTCAGCAGCCGGCCCAGACCGACTGGAAGCAAGCCCGTTCCGAGGGTGTCCCGCTTTGACCGCCTCATTGACGAAGTTCTGAGGTTCACGGGGGATGCCCACGACGATCAACTCTGCACTAGTCGAGCAAGGGTCATCGCTTTGCAAGAGACCGCATACTTGCACCGTCTCCTCGTGATGCAGCTGTTCCAAGAAGTGTTGCTCCGGCTCAGCTTGCCTCATGTGGTCATTCCGGTCAAGCTGCTGTATGGGAAAACGACTCTGCGCAGAGGCCTTGTCGACCGCCAAAGTGCGAAAGCCAAGCCGTTGACACGCAGAACTGAGGCGCGCCGTACCCGCAAAGACCTCCAAAACCAAAGGCGACCTGGTCGGGGAAGACACGGTTGGTCGTAGCCGCAGAGGTAGAAGAGTGTGAAGAAGCAGACCCCGAAGCGGCGGTTGAAGTGGTTACCTGAGTCACAGGGACCGGCAGGCGATAAGCAACCCGCGGCCGAGGCGCAGGGCTTGGGCCCACCGTATGGGCAGCAGGGCAGGTCCTAGGGTCACCCGAAGGGGGAGGCGGGGGCCTAACAACCCGAGGCGGTGACCTGCTGGCTCCTCGTTGGAATTGCACGGAACAAGATTTGGCAGCACTGGAACCGGGGCAGGCACTAGGGTCACCCAAAGGGGCGGGGGGAGGCCTATCAACCGGAGGTGGTGCGTAGCCGCCGTCGTGCTCGACAGAGGCAGGAGATGCAGCAGCATGACAGTCGTGGCCGGGTAGACGAAAGCCAGCCTCGCAAAGTTGAAGGCGATGATCCTGAGTCAAGGTCGAAGAATCACGAATGCAAAAACCCACGACAAGAAGGCGCGTGCCACGCCAGTCACAGGTGGCATGAAGACGCTCCGATGGAAGGAGCTGTGGCCCCTGGTGCACCGGCAGCAAGTATCCACACCGCCTGACCTGTGGGTCTGGGCACGGCACAGCACCTTTGCCTTCAACCCAGACCTGCCCATCGACAAAGCACGACGCCGGCAAAAGCAGATTAGGGTGGCGATGGTCGTTATTGGCATCAGAGTGAACAGGTGCTCTCAAGTTGAAAAATAATCCGACGGAGGAAAACATGCGCCCCGGGAATTGTGCAGCCAAAACCCGTGCAAGCAGTGACGTTGACATGGGGAAAACCCGAAAATTGGATCGTAGTCCAGTGTCGTTGAGGTGCACAAATGCACCCGAAGTAA